GACCCCGAACCCCCATCCAAGGCCTATCTTGTTCACTCGAACTGTAGCCTGCTTTTTGTTTATTTATTTGTTTGTTTGTTTGTTTGTTTGTTTGTTTTGTTTGTCTGTTTATCTGTTGGTCTGTTTATGTGTTCTAATAGCCCTTGCCTTACCTGTAAAAGTACATTTGTTTTAACTTGACTCATATCAATGGCTTTACCGAACCGTAACAGTTGTTTTTCCTTTGCAATCTTTTTTTTCTGTCTGGACTGTCTCCAATATACCATATAAAAATGTATATCAAAGCAGATTGCGTTAAAGTTATATTATGCAATCTAGCTCTTACGCTTATTTCAGATGTTACCAGTAAAAATCGAATGCTTTTCTGGCTTCAAGGCGTTTATTGGGTTTTTCTCTGATGTTGTTTTTCATTTATTTTAATTTTTTTTAGGGAGCTGTTTGGTTTTCCGTTGATATTTTTTTTTATTATCTTGTTTTAAGATTTAAGGTTCATTTACTTTTAGGTGAGATAACATGTCGAGAAGCGACTAGAATTTTTGTGTTTGTCTGTCTACTCCTTCAGTTCCTTTTTTTTTTGTTTTCGTCTCTCTTTGGTCTGCTCCATGTTTTGACTCGCAATGATTTGTTGAGTGTTATCAATTTCCTTCATCAAGTGCACTCTATCTGTACAAATGTCACAGTAATATTATTATTATGACCAGCGCTTTAATTGTTGTCATATGTAAATAATCTATCAAGCATGATGGAAAGATGCTTTGTAAATCAAATTATTTCCATACTGAATGTACTGTTTACTTCCTGTATAAAGAAATCGAAGATCTATGAAAAATTTTATGTCAAAGTTATTATTTTTCTACTCGTCTGTCTCAGATACATACATACATTCTAACATTTGCTATTGAATGTCTTCTCTCTCTTTGTGTATTTATAATTACCCTTGGCACGAGAAACATGCTCGTCTTCGTCTTTTTCTTATTCATAGTCATCGTAAAGCTTCTGATGACTTATTATTAGATCCAACTATTTTTGCCAGTGACCTCATTCCGCCGGCTATCCTTTAGACTGATTTCACTGCGTCCGTAATATACAATGCCCAGTATCTCTGTATTGTAAAGTAGCGCTATCATTTGCTTCACAGAACACCGGTTGTGATAGTAGTGTTAGCGTTAAGTCATAGTTTATTATGGCGGTGGCACGTCAAAAGAATGTGTTGTTTCCATATCTAGAGTGTGTGGGGTTATGATTATCGGCGGGGTTTTTTTCAATGCCCTTTAGTTTACCCGCGCGCGATTTTATTTATATCTCTTGAGATAAGGTTAAGCTAGATGTCTCATCGCCTGTACATAGTTGTTATTTTATATACGATGGTTGTCAACAATTTCTAGTCTTTGTAATATTTCAGTTTACTTGTACCCGCATGGAGGCGGAATGTTTTTACATATTATAATATTTATATTTTTGCTACAGGACGATGTCTCAAGAATGAGTATTCTAGTCATATTATGGTAATTGTGTCTGAGCAATGCCGTTTACATAGTCATATTATGTATATTTCTAATATAATGTTTATAAGAATGTGCTGTTGATAAACAGATTTGAGGCAATAGGAAGGGAGGGTCTCGACTAGTCTCAAGCCTATGGTCAGAACAGGAAGAGAGCAGTTTTAGTGTTAGGATAGCGAACAGGCCTGGTACCTGATGGACTTATGTGACTTAACGGTTCGTGCTGCATGCGTTATTTAAGTCTCCCTCCGAGTCCAATACTCACCCCCTACCCCCCCCCTCAAACTCCCCACCGAACTTTTAGAATTTGGTTTTATTTTGTTTTGTTTCTCCTTGTATGTTGTGGTTTCCACAGTGGCACATTTTTAACATCTATTCGGTTCCATCTTTTATGCTAACCATGCAGAGTTGAGTTCCCCTTGCTATTTCTTAGACAATAATAATAATATATGTGTGTATTTCACATTAATGGAAACATCGGTTTATATTTAAGCGCACATAACTGTCAGCTAGATTTACGTATAATAATAATTCTAATTGTTCAGCGTACTTTTATATGAAACTTGCATTCTAAATATCATGACTATGTAGTTCTCAAAGCTGAGCTCTCCTCAATTTGCAATGAAATAATCAGTTCTTGCCAAAAACAAAGGCATACCGCAATCCGGTGCCATATGAATGTTCTCGTCCGCGTCATAAAATGGTTTTCTGTGTACTGGTATCTCATTCTCATAAACTGAAATGTGCGGCGGTGTAAATACGCAGCACCAATATTTCTGAAGTATTCTGTTTGTGTTCTTTGTCTTTGTTTTTTGGGGAGCTACGCTTTAATCAAGTCTTTGTTTCTTCTTGAGTTTCAAGTTGAAGCAGCAGATAACAAGCCTTCTTTCTTTGTTCAAGATATTGGATGTTTCCGTGTTTACAGAGACCTTAGAGAGTTAAACACACTCAACCCTTCACTCATGAAGCCATTAATTTCATTCGTCGGAGCTTTAGGTAGATCTCATCTTTGTTTTTGAAAACCGTAACTATGACTAATTTTGTATTATCGTAAATTTACTTTATGTAGCAAACTGTTCGAACAATCTCAGTTACTTATTACGATTTTAACTTGTTGTAAAATTCTTCGAAGGTGTGACTCACTCCCTTGCATGTTTCCTGACGGTTCCTCTTT